ATTCTCGCCGTGTCGTAGGGCAGGCGCTACCTACTCCGTACCTCATAGACCATCTATTCTCCTGGATTCTCAGACACACAACCCACCCCCGGTACTTGGAGCTGAGGCGCCCAGGGTCCTCCGGTAGCATTTGGTATTGGACTTACCCATTCACAAGCCCCCTTCAGCCCTCCCGAGCTAGAGGGCTGGCTGGCCTTGACCTAAGCGCACCTGGTCTAGTGTCCCAAGTCCAAGTCCCGCACCATCAACGAGCTACATATATTCGACAGCCGCCTCTCCACACTGGCAAGGTAGACGGGACTGGACTGGCAACAACTAAGGTGATCGACGCACGATAACTCCTTTCGACATCTCGCTCGAAGGATAGCTTAAAAACCTGCACACAAAGCCTCTTTTCGACCCCGTCCGCCGGGCCTGCCATCTATTTACTCCGAACCCAATCCACCTTTTCCATCAAGCCTTACTCCCAGGGCAGCGTTCCTCTCCTCGTCTTGGGACCCGACAATCCGTACAAAACTTGTATACCTGACACTACCTTTCCTGGTTACATACCTGTCCACCTTACCTACCTACCTTGGCTACCTGAGCCGTCCTTCTCACTCTCGTCAGCTTTGTCTAGTCTTGTCTTGTCTTGTCTTCTTCTCTCATTCCTGCCCCCAAGCCCAAGGTCACGACATTCCACCACCCACCAAATTTGGACATCTGATTGCGCTGCGTTGGACTGTCACCGGTCACCATCGTTGTCGAATCAGTAGCGGCGACAGCCTCTCATCTGTGGCATTCCTAAACACCGCGTTGAAGTTCCAGCTTTTTTCAGCTCTGACGCCGCATCCCTAGGACGGGTCCCGCCAACAGCAGCTGTTTCCGAGCTGTCTAGAGAAGGACAGAAAAAGTGAGAGGAGAGAAAAAGAGATCCGGGTGCCTTACTTTGCTTGACATCCGCCGCGCCCCATTGCCGTCAAGGTTGGTAGCTCAGTCACGTCACTCCAGACTCTGTGCTCCCGCTTCTCCTGCTCCTGCCACTCCTGCTCCACCAATCTTCCGGTCAGGCACAAGTACCGACAGGTCCAGTGTGCCTGCTGGATTAGTCCGCCCGGCAGTAACTATCCAAAAACACACAGTCAAAAAAGCAAGAGCTCGCCCGTGGCAGGGAAGAATACGGAGGATTCGAAAGAAATCACCAAAACCTCAGACACCACGACCCCCTACCCAAAATGGCAATGGAGACCTCTTCGAGCTTCACGGCTCGAAGACAAGCAACACAGGCTTTGCCCCCTTTCCATCTTCCGTCGACAAACCAAGATATACCGAGTATGAGTAGACATTCTCATCAATACCCTTTCAGTTTTCACAATCAGCCTCTGCAGTCGCCATCATCGTGGCAAGCCCCCGCGATGGCTACGCCGTCGGCTCCCTCCTCCTCCTCCGCTGCCTCAAATACTCAACATTCTCCTGTAACCGCCAGCTCTGGTCTAACATCGCCTTCAGGAGTGCCAGGTGAAGGGCTTAGCCCGCTCTCTTCCGGTGTCAACACCACGAGCTCCCAGAGCTCCTATTATCCTGGAGGAAACGGCCACGGATCATGGCCTACGCCCTCGAGTTCCTACCAGCTCAGCTCTGGGACGCCCCAGGGGCTCGTCCAGACCTCTCAGTATGCCTCCCGTGGAAGCACCTACGATCAGCAATCCCCAATGTCCTACTCGCGCACTTCGCAATCACCCGCAACTGGCGAGGGCCTTCCCCCACCACCCTACGGGCAAACGCACCAGTCCTTCCAAGCTTATCCTCACGGAGGAGCGGGATCTACACCAGTCAGTTTGCCATCTCAGGGCCCACCAACACCTCAGGGTGGCATTCTTGGATCTCACGGCGCTGTCTCGACGCAACCTCCGACACCCGGCGGTTTGCACTCCCATCTTGACTCCTACACCCAGTCTCGACCACCAGCGACACCCGGCTACTACTCTACATCGTCGGCCCCCCAACAGTCGTTCAACAGCTATCAACAGTCCCACACTTCGCCCACCGCTCCTTCTCCGACGACTTCGGCAGGCCCCGGGAGAGGACTTGCTGCGCTCCAGCACCCTTCCGCGATGGCACCCCCTGGTTCTTACCGCTACCCCGGTTATCATGTTCCATCGATGGGAGGACCGATCATGTCCAACCTTACTTCTCCCGGGCACCAGATGTCACTCGTAACCGGTATGGGTGTCCCCGGCGGTTATGGAGCACACCATCTCGCACCGTCAATGTACGGCCACACCCACGGGGGGCAGCCCAACCCGCAGGCCGAACGGCCGTTCAAGTGTGATCAGTGTCCACAGTCATTCAATCGAAACCACGACCTGAAGAGACATAAGAGAATCCATCTTGCAGTCAAGCCCTTCCCTTGCAACTTCTGCGATAAGAGTTTCTCACGCAAGGACGCGTTGAAGGTCAGTTCCCAACGCCCCGAGACAATTGCACTGCATATCTTTATTTCAGGAGATGAACCATAGCTAACAAACATTACAGAGGCATCGTCTAGTCAAGGGTTGTGGTTCAAAGGAGGGTGATCGCCAGGACGAGAACGGACGACGCTCCTCGCAAGATCACTCTGACGACGGAACTCCTCCACTCAAGCGAGAGTAGATGATTGTAGCGTGCCGCTCAGGAGCTTCATGATTCGACGCGCTTTATTGATCATACGGCCGAGGTTATCCGCGGTCTCTTAGACTTCCCGAGGGTGGTCATCATCTACCTAGGTAGCCAGGCGTCAACGTGGCTTACGACTGCGATACCAATACCTCTGTGTACATGAAACTTCCAAAACCACAGCACGGGGGATCCACGGACGTAACGAAAATTCGAAAGACACGGTTGGCATTGCGGGGAATAATGCCTGGCGACGGACGCTTCGGAGAACACCTTTCTTGAAAACTTATTTTTAATTCGATCACGGGCCGTACATCGTATCTCTTTCTTCACTACACGCACGGCCATACACGAAAATCCCGGCGTTATACCGATACCACGGAACATTAATGGAAAGAGACCACCAGGGTCATAGAAGAGCCTGGTTCGTACCGTGGCCACTTTCGTTCCCAAAGCTTTCTTTCGCTACATGCTTTCCGGTAGATTACTCGTAGGCACGAGAACCAGTTGGACAGGACACATGGGTTCGGGTTTGTTTTTACGGCGAATGGTTGCGGCATCGTCCTCACTACACACGGATGCGGTATAGGACGATGCCAAACTGGGTACGGCTCCACGGAACACCTTTATATCGGGAAACGGAAACTGGCGCAGGCACTCACGAATCAGATGGGTCACGATGACGGAGGGTGGCCTAAAACGACGGTCAAGGTTGAGTCATTGATTCTGTCAAAGTTTGGACGGGCATCTGGAACGGTCGGGTTTTGTACGCAAGAGGTTGCAGGTTATCAAGGTGGGACAGTGGAGTTGGGCATCAGGGACTGCTTTGGGAGATACCAAGATTATCAAAGAGACAGGAGACTGTACATTATTACAGACGCAAGAGATCGTTCCCTGGGTAATCGACCCGGTGTGAAAATTTCGAGAGAAATGACACATATATTGAAGTCTCGCGAGCAGTAATGAACCTGTTGCTTCACAGAGTGTCACAACGGTACTCCAGAGCTACAAGAATAGCTCAATAATGACGATAAATTGGCATGTGAAGAACAATAACACCTCGCCCCTATTCTCAAAAGATCTAAGCTCGGTCGATAATGTTGACCGTGATGGTGTACGGGAGTGCTCCACGGACGAACGAACAACCAAACACCAGCAGGAATCACTTTGGCGAATTGGGTGACTAGACGTCCGCAGAGCATGACATCTCTACACTCTCTCGACCAGAAATCACCAATTGAGACACAGATGTGTGAAGCCATCGAAACAGCAGTCTGTAGGTAGATGCTCGAAAATGGTCGAATCACTTTCTCACCCAGTCTGCCCACCTCCTCATCTGTTCATCTGAACCAAAGGCAGATTAGAGCCGTGGCCTAGTGAGGATTACGTGCAGAGACTAGCGGATAGGAAAGAATGGCGTGAACGGAACGGACGAGGCTGGCGGGCAGGGCGTATGGGGGTGTACATTATAGTTTTGGCCTTTTTTTCCTCGTTCGCTCTTGGGGAGCTTGGGGCCTTGGGCTTGAGGGAACGTGCTGGCGTGCGTGAACGGCCGCATGAGATCAGAGCGGGAAAAAAGGATGGGATGGCAGGTGTCTGTTTGTTGGTCTTTTCGCTCTCTGCGCGAAAAAAAAAAAAAAAAACAGATGAGAAGAGGCGCTGGGCGCCGCCGCCCCGCGCCATACTCAAAACATCAGATGACATTGGGGGGAACATAACACAGAGTAAGTCAGACCTGCCCCCCCTTCCCATGCTCTTCTGGGCCAAGTTTGCTCTTTGGGACTCTCCTCCTTCAAAGGAGATTGAGAAAGATGGGATGCTTCTGACGAAAGAAGGACGTTACTTGTGTGACCGCGTTAGGGATTCCTTAGTTGATCGCCGGAGAAGTAAACCACATGTTCGACAGCCAGCCCTCTTCTACGGTATTAACCTCGTTCCGGCAAGAAAAAAAAACTGTCCGAGAGGACGCTCTTGAGCTGGAATGGGGTGTAAGGGGAAACACGGTACAGTTGTGACAAGAGCAGTCTCTGCAACTTTTTGCTTCCTTCCGTATGCCATGTCGCACATGAGTCGCCCGCCGTATTACAAGACTGCAGTCACGAATCTTAAGTCAGTATCCCAATAATAGTGGGTATAGGTGTGCAGTGATCAGAGTGTCGTAGATGATGAGCATTTTACTGACCTGATGAGCGGAGTATCCGTGAGAGTTTGCTACGCGTTATCCCGCTGCTGGATAGCACGCTGGGGATTCGTCAAAGGTACGCGAGATTAACCAAAAAGCGATATGCGATCAATACGCAAGAGTCTAGACTCCCTTACATGTCGGTTAGCTGCGGAGAGTGTGCAGCTTGATGGTCTCGGCTCCATCGCGCAAACGAAGATTCAATGTGCCAGAGAGGTTGCCCCAGTCCGGAGCTGGCAAAGTATTCGGCCTGTCATACACAGCCGTGATGGCCAGTTCGAAATGCTCCGGCCTGATGGAGAACAAAGCCAAGCAAGCGGGGGGAGGATAGAGTAGCGGGGCAGGTGAAAGCGATCCGGCTGCGGAGCTGAATCGAGAACCTGACGTGAGCTGAGACACACACACGCGCGCGAGAGGGTGGAATGAGAGGGGGAGGAGAGGGAAAAGCTAGAGGAAGGTAGGTGGTAGGGCGGAGACCAGCCCATGGACAAGCATTCCTGTCACTCCCACGCGATGGGCTGGCGAAGGTGTGCAAGGCGCCTCCTCCCGGGGAACCTCTAGCCCTTCCCCCTTTTCCCCCTTTCTCTTGAAGCCGGCGGCACCACTAGTGTATGGGTCTGAGAATCCATGCCATTTTGAGCATGCGGATTCGACAAGAGTCGGTCGTCGAGCTGCAGCTGGGTAACACGCCTGAGAACACTGGTTACCCTCATGGAGTGCACCGATCGTTTGACAGGCCTGGCATCAACGCTACTGAAGATAGACCATCAACTCATTTGACGGTTTGGAGAGGGTGGGAAACACCCCTCAACGGAAAATGTTGAATCGGAAGTGGCAGAGACTCTCGCCGGCCAACCGCATTGACTCCATTTGCCTTGCTTTGTCCTACTCACCAGGATACGTAAGGGTGGGTGTGCGGAAAGACATAGGCATCATCTTGCCCAGCTTCCAGTGATCTGACCATATGACTGGCTCAGCTTGTAGTGTCGCATATGTGCGTCTTCCTTGGCAATTGAGCAACTTGCTTCATTGCACCAAAGACGCAAGCATCATTCAGCCGTAGGTAGTTTCTCCACTCGGATAGAGAGAGGAGGAAAGAGAGTCGGTAAGTGAAAGCCGTTCAGCATGTCGGTAGGATGGCGCACGTTAATGGCGCATGTTCTTCGTGCCCTCTTCCTTCGTTCTTGCGCCCATCAGTGTAGAAGAACAAGTGGCTTGTTTTCTTCTGCTGCAACGAATTTCGACAAAGTGTGATGAACCAGGCCGTTGTCAGCCTCCTTGGTGAAGAGGGCATGCCTAGCCGCGCCACGTAAGCAATGCTCATGTGGTAGGATGTAGAGAGGAGGAGGTATCAGCGGGCTGAGGTGCAATCTCGTTTCCAATGACCCCCAAGGTGGTTGTCTCTTGAATGCTCCTGTGCAGATCAGCGCCCGAGCAGAACGCCTCAGGGCTGGTCTTCCGGTTCCTCTTCAAGCCTAGCGGCAGCCTCGAAGCGGCAGCGGCTGAACGTCTGGACGCAGACTAACGATTTCTACGACGACAATCCTGCATCTCGGTTTGCCGACACGATGTGTCGCTTTCCTAATCTTGACAATAGTCAGTCAAAAGAGATTGATCTGAAGGCATTGGCATGATAAGATTATGTCGTTGTGGAGTTCCATTTCAAATGAGGATTTGTGCTGAACAGATTTTGCAGTAAGTCCTCGTCTGACACTCAAGGCCGCTTGAAGCTGACGTCTCTCTATGAATTGCATCCATCGTACAGGCGGAAGGCGACAGCTACTATGCCTCTGGTCCGGAAATATGACTATTGTATCATGACTCGACTTGTGAGTTGATCATGCGAAAAAGCTATTCTGAGGTAAAGATCCATGTTCGTGGGCTCTTGCCGATTCGTGGTAGAGAACGCGGTTGCTGCAAGATCGTTGCCGTTGACGTTACGCGACATTGAGGACTGGTATATTCATTATTGCCAGACCCCTGGACCCAAAAATAGGATAAATGCTTGACGTCTATGCTGCGCAGACAGCAGAAACAGCGTCGAAGTCACCATGCTGGTTGAAGATTGCGCCGGTGCTTTTGCCGTGGGCAAGGGCCAAGGTCGCCCGAAATCTTGTACTGGATGGTCGAGATCTGTGCGTACTAGATGCGACCGAAGGCAAACATGCTCAAGTAGGCGAGCCCAACACAACATGAGCTGTATTTGTCCTTCAGTTCCGATATCTCGAACTGCTGAAGGCGCAAGTAGCTCAGTGGTTGCCATTGCCGGACGTTTCTGACGTCACCTGTTTTTGCTGAACGTTTTCACGGTGAAGCGTGAGTACGAGGGTAGAATGCCGTGGGTTAAAGGTCGGCTCTTGATTGCTAGATTGTGATTCACAACAGGGCAGACGCGTACTTCTAATGAGTTAGCAAGGGCGTTCGTTGCAAGTCGTCGAATTAGGCTCGGCAAGTTGCGAAGTCGCCCCTTGATCCCGGTCCGGCCCGCGATTTGGGTTGGATGCAGCTTGGGGAGTACCCTGTGTCCTGTCCCGGACCAATCTTGCCATCAACCATTCAATTCCCGTGAATGGTTCTGCGGCTTGGTGCAGATCATTTCCCCTTGGCCAGGGGCAGATAGCCACGGAAGCGCCCAACCGAAGCATACCAGCCGATCGCCTCGAAGTCAACTTAGGCCGTAAACTTGGCGAGACAAATCTCAGCGTTTCATGGATTCATCAAACTCTCACGAGCAGCTGCATGCTATCGGGAGACATGAGCGCATATCCTCGAAGGAGAAGTAGACGCAATTTAGAACACTCTATGTTGGTGACCGAGAACCATCGCAAGCAAGACATCAACTGATCTCAGTGCCGCTAGGGTTGCATCGGACTCGGGTCGGTGATCACCGGTGATCCCTGCTTGTGAAGTTACGGTCTCCACGCGTCCCCGTAATTATCATCGTCTGGCAAGCATTCAAGTCGCATCTCGAATCAAGGGTAGAACTGAGCGAAGCCTCTCTCTTCGCGATGTTGTTTCCGGTGATTGCAGGCTGATCTCTAGGGCATGCTCGAAACCTGGCTTGGACCCAGGCGCTCGAATATCAAGCATGTGCGATTTCTCCCATCATTATCCGAGATTCGGGCTGCGACCATACTGACACCATGAAATAGGCAAGTCTTGAGGCGTGAACAAATGCTAGTGCGATGGTAGCAAATCAGCTTGAAAGAGTAGCTACATATAGCAGAAACTTCCTTGGTCCAGGGGAAATTGTCTCTGTGATACAGTCGAAGCTTCCATGGACGTGCTAGTTGCCACCATCAACTGAAGAACTTGAATATTGCCGAGAACCTGGCTGCATCTACAGCCCAATATTACAGATTGGTACAATACAGACCGTTGCCTGCTGGGGAAATCCGGCATTTCCTGTTATCATATCTTTGCGCGGTCTGCTCTGAAGTGACTGCCGGAGGCGGTTGAGCTGTGTTCAGACTTCTAACACACCCTCTCCCCTGAGACGCGGCTTCCGGATCTCCAGGTTCGAAAGCACTGACATCCTGACAGGCGTCGTCAATACCAGGGATCATTGCAGATCAACTCATTAGTCGCAGCCTAGAGTTGTGCCTGGTATCAATGGCAACGTATAGAAGCAGGCTGCTCCCAGGAGAAAGCATTTGCGAGAAACCTAAGTTCCCTATCGCCCATTCCGTGCTGGCGATGTCGTGTTTGACGTCGTCGTAGATTTCGGTTCCGCTTGCCAAGTACTCAACGAAGCATTTCATTGAAGTTGAAATAATCCGCGGACAACTCTCCGACTAATAAGAGTCACCGGGTTGATTCGCCAGTCAATCAGGTGCTCAAACGTCAGACCATACTGATTATGACCTCTAGGATTTCTTGGTCCCTCTCAAACCAGTCAGTACAGCATCTACACGGGGACATCGATGCTTGACGGGGCTGGCTTACTGAAGATAACTCGAGGCTCCTGAAACTCGGCCGAATAGTGATGGACTCGAGAAAGAATCATCGGTAATCGTGACGAGGGAGGGGCAGGGACATAATCGCACGCGAGAAGTGGGGCGTGACGATGTATCGGGGCGATGATGCGCAGGTTGAGCGCCAAACGTGCTCGCCCATCGGTGGATCAACCACACTTTGGGAACGGTAGAGCAGAGATCGAAAGACTGCGATTGCGATTGGCGGGCTCAGGGCGAGATTGTGGGACGAGCTCCCTTGGTCGTGCTTTGGGATGGCCGAGAATAGGGTGGCCCGGGACTTCGGATGAATGTGATGAAATACCAAACTCTGGGCTCGGCAGCGACATTTGAGACAGCGTAGTCAGCCCTTGTGGACAACGTAGGCCGCAAGAGTCGTTTCGAACAGTCTTGGAGACGTATTGGGCTGAAGTCTTTTCTGCCAAGCACCATAGTTGAGGTGGCCGGCAAGGAGCAAAAAAAGACCGTCGAACCATCAGCCCCTGTTCGGGAATTACGATTGATTGCGGCTGGCCTGGAACTTTCTCCCCAAGTGGCCCATGCTGCTGTCTCCGAACAATTACAGATATCTTGTCGTAGGGCTATATTTGGAAACAGAGACGTGAGGCCGTCGTGGAATATCGTGCTAGTATGGCTCGAGGTTCGCTTGACGAAAACAACGTCCAGATAAGGTAGGCAATTGCATTGGGCACAGGGTAGCCAACAAACAACGTTTAACTCGATAACAACATTATTTCGTCTTTCGTCTCGTGATTCGTTCGAAGTTTTGTGGGAGACCGATGAGAAAAAGGCGAGCAACGGGGGAGAAAACGGCCGATGTCGAGACACGCGGTGAGCAGTTTGTTTGAGAGCAGAATGGATGGAGGTTCAGTTTGGGTGTCACGGTGTCACTCGAGAAAAAGAATTGTTAGTAGAGGAAGGTACCGATACTTCTTGCTCTTTTAGGCTATCGAAGCTAGGAAGAGGCGGAAGCCAATTAGAAAGAGCAGAGTGGAGAAGACCCCGCCTTGGCATCGTCGCAAACTCCACCCATGCGCAAGTTGCCGAAGGGGCGTTCCCTGATGTTCAGTATCAGCTCCTTCTCCTGGCCTTAGCAGAATGTCTCGCGTGATGCCGCAACCTCTTGCTAACGCAGTCTTAGGCCAGAATGTGGCCGGTTGCCCGTCTCACCAGGGTGTAACCAGGCTTCCAGGCCCTCCGGAAGGAACAACAAAAGTCACGACCGTCCGCCTCCTACATCTTGGCACGAGCCAAGTCGACTTCCCATTCATGCACAACATGCTCTCGTTTCGCCGCAGTATCGCGAAGACTTATTCGTAACACCCTCCCTGCTTGAAGCGTCTGAAGATCCCACGCAAACCTTCTCGCTGCCAGTCTATAACATCGCCCGTGCCGCCTTATTCCCCTCATCTTGGCAATTCCATCTGAAGGACCAGGACGCTCCATCTCTCACTTACCATCTTGAATAATAACTGACTCCACGGCCGGGACTGGAGCCTGGTAAAACCGTACATAATACGCACCGTCACTCCCTTAATTTTCAGTTGTTTACCAGTTCTCGTACGCCAGCGTCGACCGCTTCGCCACGATATTCGCAAAAATGGACAGCTTTCTCATGGCAAGACACGGTGGCGATGACCACGGAGCGACGGGAACAGCAACTGCTTCGGATGCTATGCCGGGAATGGATATGGGATCCGGCACGATGAACGATACCCACGGCTCGACTGGCTCAAGCATGAGCATGATGATGATGACCATCTTCCAGACAAGTCTGAAGACTCCTCTCTACACCGAGGCCTGGACCCCGAACAGCGTTGGCACTTACGCCGCCACGTGCATCTTCCTCATCTTCTTGGCCTTCGGTCTTCGCAGCATGCTCGCTCTCAAGTCCATTCAGGAGAAGCGATGGTTGGACAAGGACTTCAAGCGCCGCTACGTGAGCGTCAACGGCAAACTCGGCATGGCAGGAAAGATGTCAACGGACAGCATGGCAAAGCAAATGGTACTTTCCGAGAACGGTCTCGAAGAGAACGTCACTGTCGTTCAGAAGGGACACGGCATTTGGAGGCCCTGGAGATTCTCCGTTGATCCTGTCCGTGCCGTGATTGACACCGCTATTGCCGGAGTTGGATATCTTCTGTATGTGTTCTTCTACACACTACCTCTTTTTGATACATTACTAACAATACGTAGGATGTTGGCTGTCATGACAATGAACGTTGGTTACCTCCTGTCAGTTCTCGGCGGCGTGTTCTTGGGCAGTCTCGCTGTTGGCCGTTTTGCCACGATGGGCGAGCACTAGTGAATTTTCAGCAGCAGTTAGGGAGACAATACCGACTAGAATGTTCTCCCCAATTCCCTTGCTGTTGTATGATGCGGTGACTCCAGTGAAGGACGGATGCTGGATCATGGCACTTGGATACGAGGAACGCGACCACGAAGGAATGGACAACGCGATGACTGTCAGACCTTGGACAAGCCGTCCTTTTTTTTTTCTCTCCTTTTTTTTTTTTTTTGGAACCGCACGCGAAGGAAACCACCAGGCTTCTTCCTGCTGAAGATTACGCTCGCTGTGTTGTACTGCACCAAATGACGATGTACACCCGACGGCAGCCGACGGTTGCCAAATTACAAGCAGCTACGATTGATAATAGTGAAGCTGTGTGTACAGATTCTATACCCAATGTGGGTTTCCCTCCTTCCCGTCTCTTGTGGTCTTGTGGTGATAGCGCGGCAAGTACATGTACAAGGATGCCTAGTGCCATTTCTGGCCCGTGCAGAAACCTTCTCAAACTGCCTCAGCCCGTCGCCTCCGTCCCCGGCTTCCTGCGAAGTTCATGTTAGACGTACCAAGCCACCAAGCAAGTCTACATTACCGTTGGTACCTTCGTTGCTGTGCCACATCACCTAAGCCGTCTACTCGTCCTGTTCCCATTTCATCCAAGTCAAGCCTTCCAACATCAAATGAGTCGAGTTGAAGAGGAGCCGCATGCCAACTTGTCTGTCACGCTCGGCCAGAGACAGAATCGGGGGCAGCTTAAGCTTATCAGCCCGCGAATCCTGTCCCTGCCAAAGCGTATCACTAAGCAGCCAGACAGGCACGCAGGCTGGTAGGGTCCAATTCGAGGGGATGCAACCCAGGACGAACGATAAGATCAGCAGCCCGTCCATTCCTTCTAGGACTGCATCAATAGTCGACTGTACGCCCAATCACGTGTTTTGCGAGTACGGATACGTCCTTGTTATTGATCAACAGGCATCCTCCCTTCGCGCCCTGGCGTCTCGAGTCGCGGTGCCAGATGCGACGTCACCCAGCATGGCATGGCAGCCCTGAGCATGTGGAGCGTTTCCTCCAATTCCGCACTCTTCGAAGAACCCGTCCTTCCACGAAGCTTGTTTCTGCCCGTTTCATCTGAACAGCTCCCCTCCAGACGGGCCTCGAAGTTTCACTGCTCCGATGCTCCGTTCCAGTAAAATTTCGTTCCTGGTCATCTTGCAGAGGGGCACGACAACTTCCACATGGGACGGACAAAATGTATCGATGCTCTACCTCGACGAACTCTTCTCTGCGGCAGAGCTTTGAATGGCCAAGACAATTACGAGGTTGCTGCATGTCTACCGGCGTTGCTAGCACCAGTGTCAGAAACCGAGAGACAAGCAAGATATATCTGCACCACCAACTCCGACTGAAGGCTATGTTTGGATGTCACAACACAAACTTGAATTGTCCGATACACCATAAGTCAGTTGAACCCTGCCACCCGTTGCATCTCAACCACCACGCTCCAATCGGGTAACGATTCACTACGAAGACGACAACAGACGACGGGAGTGCCGTGGCTGTGCGGGGCTTTCGCTTTACCCGGAGTCCACGATATCTGTGCCTGAACCCGGAGATGGGGAACTATTAGTAAGGAGACGCGGCTCAACTCCGAGCACTGTGTAATACAAAGCGACCATCCTCGAGCCTCGGTACTTTGTGGGTGTCTCCTCTTTCTGAACGTCTCGAAGAGGAGTAGTTAGGACGATGTAAAGTTCTTGATTGTCCGGACTAACGAGGACTCAGCCTAGGCTCACTACCAGAGGACGAGTGCTATCAAGAACGAGACTCCGAGTCGAGGAGAGCGCGGAGACCATCCTGGGCACCATTTTCTCAAACATCAACAGCATCAGTCCATGTTTACAATGTCCGACGATACCATAGAGCCCTAGACCACCAGGAAATAAACATGGCGAGTCCCCATATCAGCTGGAAGCTTGCTACGCCTCTTACTGGCCCAACCGCCGGCGATGTTTGCCGTATTCCAGGAAATGACCTCGGGACCGGCATCCAGTCCAGTCGAGGTAATGGGCCCTTGGGACTCGGCATTCAACCCTGTCTGCAGCTTCCTAGAGGTCGCCGACCCTGTCAACTCAAATTCGACCTCTTCCTCGTCCATCCTTGTCGACGGAATGTAGAGACATAGGGCTGGGCTGATATCCAAATTTGACCCATATACAGCTTAATGTGGCGTTTCCGAGATTACGGAGACGATCAAAACAATTGCATAGATGCTCGGCCCCGGACTCCGGCAGACGAGACAAAGGTCGAAAGAGCTTCAGAAAATTGTCTGCCTAGATCTAGATCTGATCACATTGAAACTGCAGCGGACCGGTTCGCCGCAAATCCCGTCAAGCCCGCCAGGCCCAAAAAGGCAACGAGCTGTCCCTGCTCACGTCCAAATCCAGACAGGACCTTCCCCACCCAAGCAACAGATATACATTTGCCTAGCAGGAAACCTCACAGCTGGATACGCGTCGTTCAAATATGTCAACTCTACCCCGCTGCAGAAAGGCCAAAAGAAAAGAGTTGAAGCACGCAGATGCGCATGTGACACATCAAAGGCTTGTTTAGGCTCCCTCTCTCGGCCAGTCGACTATGACTCCTCTAGTCGACCTGGCTCGTTGCACACTCTATCACCAGAAACGAGTCAAGTCCAGTTTGACAGATGAGAGAGACCGACCACGAAGATGGGATAGCCGTGAACCCCATCTTCTTTAACAGCCAGGAGGGGTGTGCGTCGTCCTTCGCGCCAAATCTACGGACTGCCCTCCTCTTCGACTCCCCCGCTGGACCCCCGCTACCGGCGCCGTCGCCAAAGCCGCGCTGAGGACGTGCACCTCATTATTAGTCACAGCGACCGAAACACGAGGGCGGGCAGTACCCGTAGGTCCACAACCACTGTCAGTCCGCGCCCAGCAGTCAGGTTGCGCCGGCCGTGCCACGGCGGGTCTATCGTTCACCGAATCACAACGCGCGAGAAGGCCAAAAGCAGCATACGAATCTCTCACTCTGCCCCTTGCATCCCGAGTTCCCGCCATCCAGGAGTCTGCAATGAGTTTAATCGCCCGTGAATGGAACCAGAGATCCGCTGTTCGACCTAATCAGGCAAAAAATTGTCGGCGGGCTATTTCAACCGCATATCAATGCGACGACAGCGTCTACACTTTTGCAATGACAAGAACAAGAATAAGAGAGCGCATGTCGACAAATTAACCTCTGTCAATCAAGGGCGGTCTGGAACCTACCCTTCGATCTTCACACCCCCCTCCTCCCTCGGACGTCAAACTGTCAACAAGTCTACCAAGCAAGCAAGCAACCGGACGGTAGGGGTTGGCTCGTTCGTACTTGGTGCCCGCCCGAGCTTTGAATTAATTAGGAAATTCCAAGGAGAAATGACACAACCGTTTGTGTGAACAGGACAGAAGCCAAAATCTGTTGCGAAAACCTTGCCTACCGCTCAATAACCAAGCTCCGCGCGACCTTATGCTGTCGGGCAGCTGTCAAAAAACGTCTCGCCCCCCCCCCCCCCTTCTCTCCTCACCACCATCGTGGTAGGTAGACCGTAGTGTAGCTTATTTGCCGACACCTCTTTGTGTCTGTCTTTTTTTCCTTTCCCCTTCTTTCGTGTCTCGCATTCCAGCTTTAGAGTTCAATCACTTGTCATGTCACCATGACGGGCACACCACACACTTTTACGTATGCGCCACGGACACTGCGCACTGCCAAACCAAACCAACTCCGAGTCTAAATTGTGCTTGTTCGAGTCCGCAAACGGAATGTTCGAGGACGGACGGACGGACGGACGCGGGGAACGGAGGAAGGAGTATCGAAAGATCTGAAATGTGTAAGCAACGGAAAGTCTCTCTTAGACTCGACGGAAACATCCCACCGCCGTTTGTCACTTCGGATCAACTCACGCATGATTGGTCGATAGTACGACCTATCTGTACCGAGGATTCACTGCTCGAGGAGTCTAGAGAGACCGCTACCTCCTAGGCAAAGAATATTGTAGATTCTCATATTAGCATTGCTTCACAGACCTCAGCGCGCAGAGTATAATGATTTTAGAGGGTTTTTTTACTTTTTTTTTTTTTTTTTAACTTTTATTAGCATTGGTCAGGTCTTGACTTTCTAGTAGTGGTAAATTTGGGTACGAAGACCGGGAAAAAGGAGGAGGAATAATAATCGCAAGGGGGTCGCGCACGCGGATATAACTATCATACATGGTGTATAGAGACATTTCATCCTCTCCGTATTCTTGAAACTCATCTTTCGTTCTTCATCCCTTCCTTTTCCCATAAACCGGCGCTCTCCGGGCTCTCAGTGCTTGCTTATTCCCCTGTATCCCAGACTAAGAGCGCGTCTGACATGAACGACAACGATGACAGCGAACAGGAACGGAAAGTGTGCGGTGTGAATGTAGCTTTTTGTTGATTTGCCCAGGGCCGGGGGGTATCGTGCCGAGTCCTACGGAGAAAAAGAACCCAAAAGACATTTCCTCGCAGAGCAGCGTAGTGAGAGATTACGGGTTCTGGAGCGGACCGAGTGGTCGCGCGACGTCTCTGTTTCCTCGTTGATCCTCGAGTTGAATGAAATCATCACAGTCCATTCCAAAAAAAGATGTGCCTGCCCCAGCCGTGAGAATGTCATGCTCTCGTGCTGAAAAAGAACCTTCCCCCTCCCGCGCCGGAAATTCCCCCACCCTGCTTCCGCAAGACATAGCTTTCTCCAACCACGCAACTCTCCCCTACTACCACTGGAGAAGAAGGAAAAAAAGAACGAAAACGAAAAATGGCCAACGATGCCATACAAAGTCGCGTCCACAGACAGCAAGCCGCCTGTCGCGAGGCACAGACGTGCCGCGCTCAATGAGACCGCCGCCGTCGTAATGCCACCCATACCCCCATGTCTCCTGATCGCATGCTCCTCAGTGTCTCCATGTCTCTCGTTATGTTCTCCCGTGTTTCCCCCAGCTAGACAGCATTAAAATTCGCTCCACGATAACGGCATCACACAATACTGTGTCCCTTGAAAGTTTGAGGTCCAAGGACAGCCGAGTTGCGTGATGCCGGCGGAGTCGTAATAGCAAAAGGGAAATTGGGATCAAGAGAAATAGAAAGAAAACGTAGTGGAACGAGATGCAGCAATTAGTAACACCGAACTGTAACGCCAAACTACCAGAGCCTCATCGCCGAGTGAAGAAATGACGAATGCCGGCGAGCGAGGTCTGGAAGATGCAGGATGTGTCTGGTATCAACGGGAAATGCAAATGTCATGATGAACTTGGCGCTCATGACTGATGCGACGTGTGCTGGGGGAGACCAGACTGCGGCGGCATAGCGTAGCCACCGCCCCGTTGTTGTTGCTGGACGTAACTCTGGTAGGCGAGCGCCTGAGAAGGGTCCATGCCGACGTTGGACATGTAGTTGGGAGGCATGTGGGATTGAGGCATACCCTGGCGTCCTGCCTGAGGGGGCAAGTGCTGTTGAGGAGGCTCTTCGGGAGAGTCAACCTGGTTCGAATCGTCGACGCCGTTCTCGCCGCCTTGGGAGGGCTCGGGTGCGTTCAGGCATGCCTGTATTAAGAGTCAGAATTGTCTTTTTTTTGTCATTTCGCGTTGGTTGGAGCACAGAGCACATACCTGAATCAAGTTCTTGCCCTCGGCCTTGGTGACAAGAGGTTGCAACTTTGGTGTCGTGAAGGTGTAGACAAGACCCGTTTCGGAAACAACGAGGAGGAGCACTTGGGTGCCAGTGAGGACAGAAAGCTCATAGGCCTAGTGGGCATTCTGGTCAGCATTTTGAACAAGTAAAAATCGGGCTGGCGCAGGCAGCAGCAAGTGTCCACGGATGATTGCCTCTTGTTGGACGTGGATGAGGAGCGATTGGGATGGTCAACGTACCTTCTTCATGATACCAGCCTTGCGCTTGGAAAATGTAATGTGGCGACGAGACTTGTCGTTGATGAACTTGATCTCAATCTTGCGACGCTCGCGGCCGCCCTTCTCGTCATCATCATCGTCGTCGTCAGCGGTGCTGGGACGTTGGCGCTTGACGCCTCTGTTCTCGGCGACGCTGCCGTTGCCAACCTGCGACTCATCGAGGTCGGTAGGCGAGGTCTGGTCGTGTTGATCGGTGATGTCGGCCATTGTGGTCAAGTGCGTGGGTGTTGGATGGTATCACAAGGCAGTGAAAGGTAAAAACGGTGGAGAAACTGCTTTGAGCGTGGTGCCGATTGATCTATACTTGATCAGGGTGGATGAGCTCTTGCTGTGTGTAGCTTGGATGTTGTCGCAGAAGGAGGCAGGTCGGAACGGGAGGTAACCTGTATCGAGTCTGGTGCGGAGCGGATGCGGTGCCTTGCGTGTGGTGGAGGTGGGAAGGCAGGTAAGGTTGACTGATTGAGAAAGATGGCAGATAGGAGAGTTGGTAGGGCAGGTGGTAGGTGGTAGGTAGGTGGGTAGGTTACGCGGGCGACTGATAGCGCGGTTGCGTGTGTAGTAGTACCTTTTTTGTTTTTTTTTTCCCCTGCCGTCCAACGGAAGCGAGGAATTTGCTGATTTAATTTTTTATTTGCTTTGTTTGACTTTTGGAGCTTCCGTGCCTGACATGCACTTGTTGCTTGTCGGTAGCCACAGCGGATAGCGGACAGACTGAATGAAGATTTGTCCCAAATAGTCAATAGTCGACGGCGACTATTTTTTGACAGGCGGCGCGCGCGCGGTGGATGGATGGTTGGTGGTGGAAGGAAGCTGGTCTTTTTTGGAGACAAGCAAAAGGTAGCGTAGCGGAAGTAGGTGGATGGTGGTGGTCGTGGTTTGTTCGCAGCGGAAAGCGGGAAGGCTTGGCCTGGCGAAACGAACTGGCTGCGGTGCGGGTTATGAGCCGAGCGGATTTGTATAGGTATTTGTGCGGAGATGCGTGGTGGTGCGATGGGTGGCCGCGCAGAAAAAGGAAAAAACGCGACTCGAGTGAGAAACTTGGGTCGGGGGTAGTGGGAGAGAGAGTCGAGGTTACTCGGCGGTTTTTGGGGGGATCCCTTTTTTGACGGGGGGAGATGGCCGAGAAGAGAGACTGGGGGTAACCTGAGAGGGGGGGCAGGAGGGAAAGGTAAGGCCGAGAGTCCAGAGCCAGAGAGAGACGTTGGACCAAGGGTCAGTTGTCAGGCAAGACCAGGTCAGGTACCGGGTGGGTGAGGGTGAGATGGATGGGATGTCGTATCTCTCTCTCTCTCTCGTCCGGATTTCAATGGGAATCCACGGAGCCGAAGAACGGGTTCTTGGACGCCCCCCAGAAAAGAAAAGAAAAAAAGGGGACAAGAGGAGACGGGTATGGATACAGATAGGTTCGATGAGGTATCGGGGCGGCTTGGACGTACGTCGTTGGTGGTTCAAGCGATTTCCCCTGTTCTCGAAAACAAGCAACAAGTGTCAGTTGGGGAAAAGCAGCTCGATTGAGGATAAGGTGAAAGGGGACTGCGGAGTGAATGAAAAGAGGATAGTGAGGTGGTAGCACGGGCTGCGGCCATAACCAGACAGTTTAAGGAAAAACGAAAGGCGGGGGGTGGCGGTCTTGGGCTGCCTGGGCCCTCTTCTACTCGAGTACATAGTACGGACTTCTCAGAGTCGCGACGGGGGCCCTTGGGGGTGCGACCAGGGTGTCAAGTGCTAGCTGCTTTGTAGAGTACAGTGCGCGCTACAAAGATACCTTTCCATCATTTCTGACCTCGACTTGCCCGGGGCATGCCGCCATGGAGCGAAGGGGGAGGAAGAAGAAGAAGAAGACGAAGAAGAATGACCGGGGTGTAAAGGTACCTCAGAGGGGGTGTGTGCGTGGTTGGTGGGTGGGAGTGCTAATGTCGAGGTGTGCGGACGGAGGAGTATGGTAGGTACGGATTACCCAAGGTGCCTACGGATACCTCAGTCTTGGGAGCTCTGAAATGTGAGGTGTTCCATGGATGGACGTCGACGGAGACTCCCTCAGGTGAAGCGGAGAGAGAAAGGGCAGATATGTGGGCTATCCTCTTGAGATTCTACTTTGAACGAAACAGCAACTGCTGATATCTGGTTGTACGGATACCTTAGTAAATTGATAGGCGCTCTCTCTCTCTCTCTCTCTCTCTCTCTCTCTCTCTCTCTCTCTCTCTCTCTTTCTCTCTCCCAATGGAAGGTAGGATGCAAGTGCTGATGCCCTTCCTACGATTTTTGAGGAATCCCGATCAGGTGGAATACAGGGTGTGGATGTATGCCAAGGTACTTAACTACATCTTATGTGCGTGTGAGAGAGTTGTCGAGAGGAAAGAGCACAAAAGTTAAACGGGCGGGTGAAGAATAGACAGGCAGCGGGAAGACTGGACGGGAACTGTATTGACGGAAGTCAAGCATGACAATCAACGACACCGATTTACACCTCAGACGCCTCACGAAGAGAAGTCCCGCCAATGTACCTTATCTTGCATCTCTCGGAAAACCGAGCTGCATTGCGCAAGAACGATGGTCTACCTTAGTTACGGGGCAGAAAGACACAATCAGACTCCAGAGGAAATCCAGAGGAAGTCCAGAGGAAGGAACGAGGAACAATGAGGTTAGCAATCGTAGGCAGGCACAGGCTACAGCAATTACCAACATGTCGACGCTCACTTCCTTCCATCGGCGGGGTTGTTTCGCTGATGGATTCCTTCCTGCTCAGAGTGAGAGTCTGGTGGTGACTGCTAAACTGAGGCGGTGGGAACTGGATGGTCCCTGTTCCATCAAAGAAGAGGAAAGTGGAGCCGTCCAAAGTGACTTCCACCCTCTCCTTCTCCTCCCCTTCCTCCTCCTTCTTGATCCTGCCCCAAAAACTCATTTTCTATCTTTCCCGTCTTTTTCTCTCCATCCCATTACCTCATGTACCTTACCTTCCCATTCATTACTCTCGAGGTCACGTAAGCCCAATCGAATCCGGGCAACATGCTCGCCCCTTCCTTCGTTCTTCTCTCTTCGCACTTCATATCCCCCTCCTACGGAACTTGTACCATGATGCTCGAAAAAGGCGCAGAGTGACGACAATTGGGATCCGATCTCCCTTCCATATACTCCTAGGCCCCCCCCCCCCAGTAGATAACTAAGGCACACGAGATGAGAAAGATATACTAGCACACACCCACCTGCAGCCGACCAGGGAAGAAGGTTTGGCTTCCAGCAGCACAAGCGCAACTATGGATACACTACGACGCTTGCACCATCCTCAACCTCCGCCATACCATTGGGAGGTGAGAGGTACATATTCCGATACCTTGCCTACCTTGCCTTGAGGTACCCAAGTATATCGACTGCATCAACCCTCCCCGCCTACCAATCTTCTCAATGACTTTGACAGGCTTCCCCCTCTCTCCGCAACTTGCCATCCTCCAACGCCATCGTCCATATTCTAGCTCCTCTATCTGTACATACGAATAGATGACTTGAATATCGTCCACTAGGACAATGCTAGCGACAGATATCCTTTCGCGCCAAGAGATAGCCCTGCTTGCAAGTCACACTGCTAGGTTGCGTCCCGCCCACGGCCATGGGTCCTGTCGGTCAGGACGCGGCCGACCGGACCAGACCTGGACGACCATGCCTCCAGAGCTATAGTACAGTATGTGAGCCTGTATGTAAGGTCTGCGGCGGCGCGGCCTGCCAGCTCTTCCACTCCCATGGTTAGTTTCTACACCTCGTGACTTGACTTTGCCAGTATCTCCATGTCTGTCTCCTCAACTCCTCCTCTTCCCTCGGTACGTACACTCGACATATGTCGGGCTACGGCGGCTTTGCATCGTCGTAATAACTAGCTAGCATGCGACACTGCAGAAGTGCAGATTGACATCTCCCTTCTTGGGCCCTGGCTTGCCTGTGTCATAACGGGTAGGCGATCCAGAACCAGGGCCAACATCGACGCCGTTGTCGTAGCCATTGCCGCAATAACCAACCGCCTGGTTCAATTGCTGAATCTGTTGACGATCCCTTCTCTCTTCAATCTCGCTCCAAAACGTCTGCAGCTCATGTACCTGACTTGTCCGGTTTGGGATACGCTGCTGTTCTCTACCGACGGCTCGTTGGATTGTTCTTTTGAGGACCAAGCTAACGCATGGCAGAGCCTAGGCGTCGCCGTGGACATCCTGTCAGAACTTAGAACCTTCGCACCGACGCTGTCAAAGCCTTCTTCGCTGTCTTCTATCGCTTGCGACTTAGTCTTCACGGCTTTGGGGCTTGAGCCACTGCGTTCCTCCTCATGCCTCGGGAGCACACACTGCTGCCTTCATCTGGCGACTATCAGCCTACCTGGGCCAGTCCCTGCACAACCAAGATTCATGTCAGCATACACCAGCCATTTCTTTCGACCCTCGATTGCTAACGCCTTTCCTTTTCTCCCTGCACTGTGCCCCTCAATTCTAGCTCCCTCATCCTAGGTCCGGGCTGCCAGTGGAATCCATGGGAAATAAGCGATCCAAGTATTCCACAGTGTAGCACAGTCAGCGGCGCCATGGCTGTCTAAACGGTGGTCAAAGCATCGTGGTTTGCGGCTTCCGGCTGCATTGCGAGATAGGGCGTGAAGAGAAGCAGGGGAAAAGGGGCGAAATGTTGCTTACAACGTGCCAAACGACGGGACTCAGGGAGAACCTAGGGAAGACCCTCTTTCGAAATTGACTCCCGCCCTCGATTGTCAAGACACGAGAAAGCACCACGCGTGCAGCGTGCTGCGTGCAATATTGAATGAGCGCGCCAACGAAAAATAATTAATGATTCTTGGGTCCTGTGGGGTGACTCCTGCCTTGATGATTGGGACCCGTGGAGAATTGAGGGATCGGGAAAAGCGCCCAGTGCGACGAGTGTGCAGGGTACAAGATCGAACCCCTGCTGCTTACCGCGACTAGCGGTATCGAGGACCTCGGCTGGTCTTGGTTCTGTCTCCCGTAGCTTTCTCACATCCTCGATCGGCCCGCTTGGTGTTTGGTTACGTTCAGCTGGTGAAGATACCTACTGTGCCGGCTCGTCGAGGAAAATGAAAGCCAACGTCGAGTTGTCATGCTCCCAGTCAGCCGGCCTGTCGAACCACAATCTGCGCGTAAGGCTTCCGAGCGGCCCTTGGTGCAGCTGGCAACGGTGCTGGAGTCGTTGAATTACGCAGTACACAACGCTTGCGCTGCATTGCACTCGGTTTGCAGGCGGGAGTGTGTGGAACATTGCAACGCGGTTTGGCTTAGCGTCTTCCTGCTGCGCTCGGTGTAGGGGTGTTCCTAGATGGCCGCTGAAAGCTGATTTCCTGGTTTGGAGAGCTGCAAGCCTGTGAATCGACCGAGCTCATCTACGCCCATTCTTGAGCAGCGCTCTAGAAGCCTGCCTCAATCAGCACTGGCATGCCGTCCATAAAAGGAAAGTAGCTCATAGTTCTTTGACCTCGAGACAGACCGTCACACGCGCGCGCGAGAGAGAGTGGTTGCTGCTCAGCGGCGACCGCACCGTGAAGCGTAGTATAATACATCAGCCGAGTGAGAGACGACAACTCAAACAACCGTGAGGTCCGGCAGGATCTCAATAGACTATTCACGTCGATTGCTACCCCCAAGGCTGGCCTCCTGTGAGTAGGGGCCACAAAGACATCCGATGCGCGCCATGAGACGACTTTCATCATCTACCCAAGTTGGCAGTGCAGGGCCAACCTGACCAATCAGTGATTGGCGGAAATTGGGAATGGATTGGTATTGTGTGCGTGTATTACTCGATGGTGGGCTTCCGTTCTCCTGGAAATCGATAGTGCTGGCCAGACCCAGCCGCGACTGGGACTTGGGGACTTCGATGTGGTTGTCCTGTCTCTCTTTCTCTCTGGACAGGTGGGTGTTCGTTCGTTCGCTTGCTCGGTCCAAGTGGATGCCCCACGCCGTCGCCGACCGAAATCAAACGACACGACACGGCGCGGGCATGGTAGTTGGGACAAGGGTCTGATTGGTGGTTTACTGGGAGGTGGATGGCAAAAAGACGCCGTCGCGTTGCGGCACAGCACACAGTGCTTCAGGCGCAGGCGCTCAATATGGGACGTGCTGTCGAGAACGTGGCCCCAGAGCGGAGACACACAGGGCGGGCCAAGGATGGATAGCGTGTGATTGCAGCGGCCACGGGCACGGAGCAAAAGTCGTGAGCGTGGAGTTGAGGGTACTTGGTAGACTGTATCCGTCCATACTGCGAAGGATAGAAAGTACGAACAGATATGTTACAGTCCCTGTCTGCTTGTTGATGGCTGCAACTCGAGACAAGAAAACACTGGGTCGATGCTGGTAGAGACTTCGGCGCTTCGGAGAGGATCTTGGAGGAGCACATGTTTGATGGGCAGACGGGGTTGTCAGGGCAGGCAAATGTCGGGTCGTAGATGCAATTCTTTGCTCTGCTGCCGCGGCTATTGGATGGGTCTAAAGTGATTCTTTGTACGAAGTCTGGTGGCACTGGAGCTTTGTGCCCGCCCCAAGTTGGAGAGCGGCGATTCCGTTGCGTATGTCTCAGAGTCGGAGAAGAGCGTATTAAGGTATTCGTGAGGTTGCATTGCGACGCGCTGGGTCACGGACCTGAAGGCGGCAGCCGAGACAGGCATGAGAACGAGAGCCGCGATTTTTTCCTAGAAGATGGATGAATCAACTGCCGTCGCATACGTACGAGACAACGCGTGCTTGTTCACACGTGGAGAGTATTGGGTAAGCATTCAGCTCGAGTTGGTTGACGACAAAGAGATCTCGAAAAGCAACGCCCCAAGATGGCCAAGAGTTGAGCGGTGGGAGGAAAAGAAACGATGGCAGACGGGCTGAATCTTGATATGCGAGCTTTGACAGGGGCCGTTATTCACCGGTCTGGCTCCCTGCTTGGGGCCTGGGGCAGGCCGCAGGGTGGGATACGGCTGCTGGACATGGTCTCGTAATTCGTTGCCGTCCGTCCTCGTCCTTGACGAAAGGCGAAGCACGCGGTCGTTGATAAGTCGAGGATGCCGAGATGCGAAATCAAATCTCGGTACGGATGAAGCCTTTTTTTCGACGTTGGATTGGAGTTGAAGAGGCTGACACGGGAAGGAAAACCAAGGGATTCGAGACCAAGAACAAGGTAGGATGTCAGGCCTGACAAGGAAAGGCGTGCTGAAATTGACTTTTGTGCTCCCGAAGGAGAGATCTGGACGTTGCTCGATTCGTCTTGACAGCTTTGATGACAGCCTTTGGAGGACCAAGGACCTGGGGCAGATGGCTGGGCTTGCCAGGCTCGGCGGCGCGTGCTATGCTGGACGCGGCTTGGGCTGGGCTGAGCTGGGTCGGATTTACCGGTTTGCCGGGGGCCCATGACGGATGGATGGTGATGGGTGATATGGACTCAGAGGGCCGGTGCGTCGTGATTTGAAGCTGTCCATTCAGATTCAAGCCTGACACGATTTGATCCTTGACTTGGAAAGTTGTAATCTTGGACTCTTGGAGTGACAAGACTCAAAAAAATTCAATGTAAAAAAGGGTGCAGCTGCAGGCTGCAGCAGCGGGCAAGCCCCTCCCCTTCCCCTCCGCTCTCCCATGTTCCAATGTGCCCCCCATGAAGTGTGGGACTGTGGAACGAAGCGGGGAGCAAGGGGGCCGAGATTGGTCCAAACCCATCCAAAAGAGCAGAGAAATCGATACGGACGGGGACATGGAGACACAAGCGTGGTCCGGAACAGGGGATGTACGTATCTTTACCTACCTGACTGGGCAGGCAGGAGCTGCGGGTTTGCACGAAGAAAGGCAAGTGTCCACGGGAGGAGCAAGGCAGTAGCAGGGAACGTATCCGCCACCTCGCAGTTATGGTTCATCGTGCAACTCCGGCCGGGCTCACTCTCACTTATGGCGACATCAGGTCGGATACAAGGTCCATCTTAACCCCCATGAGGTCGATGGCGTTTTAACCACGCGATGAGAAGCTGGGCAACGCGACAATCGGCCATGGGTCTACACTACGTACGGCCTACGGATAACGTGGCTATCCAGTTGGCTGTCATTACCTTTTCCCAGGAGTCGACTAATACTACACAGTCAGTAATTGCTCATGAACATTTCCAGGCTGGAGGAGGATCGAGAGTACCTGCCTAGAGCGAGGGAAGAGTGGACGCTATTCCTTATCAGGAAGTTAAGTCTAAATGTCTCCACACAGTGCACGTCATTCAAGAGGGTACTTCATCAGCTACCCGTACGGGTACCCGAGCGAGTCGAGGAAAAGAATGCAGGGTAAATGAGAAAATCAATGTTCAATGTATTGTGTGCCGGGCTGCAATCTGCATGTAAGGTATTGCTCGCTCTACCTGCAGATGCATGCGGGCTAAGCTGCTGGATTGATTCGCCTTTGCGACTTACTATGGAACTTACCGTCATAGCCCATCAATAAGGTGAGAGTAGAGGCCACCAACATGTTTAGGAAAATGACATGGGAAGGAATGCCTCGAGACATGGCCAGTTTGTTTCCTTCACTAACAACAGAGTCTCTATGAACACAATCTCCCAGGATCACGAGCAAGAGCTGCTTGCTCTTACTGTTGCTCTCCTCTACCCCTGGCACATCACACGCAAGCAAGCTGACTTGGTCCACTGGATCCGTTTCTTTGATCAAACGAACTCGGACTCCGGAGCGCGCAACAGAAGATGCGTGTTTGGTGTCAAGTCAGGGGGACAAGGTCTGCTCCGTGGCCCGTTCATCATCGGGCCCGTTTCTTATCGAAAGTTGTTGTTCTGCAGTATCTCGCGGCAGTACGACTTCACACAAGACAAGCAAGGCCTAGGTACGCTGGAAAGCCACACGAGATGAAGAGGAGCGTCGGCAACACAGCATCGTGCAGAAAACGAATGATGTACTTCTCGGTCGTTGTCAGCGATATCCTTCTCCTTTCACGAAACATCGCGACAACAGACGACTGGAAATGCACACGGAGTGGCATGCAGCTCAGATGCCTCACGCCCAGCATCGGCGTCAGTCAGCAATGGAAATGCCAGAGTGAGAGTCAGATCCAGGTTCCGGGGAGAACTGGCGAGGGCTTGCCGATCGAAGAACGCCTCCCCTTACCCTACCGCCCCTTCCCTGCAATTCCCCAGTCATAATAAGTCTGTGTCGCTGCGTCGCACCCAGTACCTTACGGATAGAACCCAGTTGAACCGGATCTTTTCCGTGCACGTGACGATCCGATCCTCCACCCCGGTCCAACACTTGTCAGAGAAATCGGTGGCTCTTGCTTCGCCTGATTCACCCACCACCCGCCTGCGGCCTGCCTGCTTTCCAGACTCCAGACTCCAGACTCCAGACTCCAGTATCTCCTTCCCCTTCTTGCACCGTGTGTGTTCGTGGATTCCGAGAGGCTTCGACCGACCTTGTCTGCTCCACACCACCAAACCGCTCTGCCCGGTGCCCTTGGGGAGTCGGGACTGCAACTGACACGGCGTTTCGTTTCGCTCGACAAATTATCTGACCTCAACAGCCTTTCCTACCGACCTGTTGGCGCTTGTCGCCCGCGTCCGGCTCTGCCCTCTTCTTTGTACTCTCGCAAGCGGATAACCCCTACGTATTCGTTCGCATCCCGCCAAACTTGTCCGCAGGACGTCAGAGACCGTGCGTGCGTGATGAGTTCGTGGCACCTCGAATCGCGGTTCACACCCTCGACAAGCTCACTCCGCAACCTGGGGCACATGGGATCACTGCCACTTTCGGTCTCCGCGCAATATGACGGGATGGTTCGCAAGAATCGATTTCAACGGGGCAACCGATGCAGTCCAGTCTTGCGCTCGGCCGATGCCCTGAGCCCAAGTCAAGTTCGTTCCCGAATCCAGTGTACCCAAAAGGGCGCCACTGGTGTTCGTGTCGCTCGGCAGTCAACGGCTTGACGTAAACCGTATTCTAAAGGGTCACACTCAGGTCTTTCAAGCCTGTTGGTCTGCGTGAACCAGATCTCGCAGCATTTCTCAGACAAGGACATGGCCCTTGGTCTCTGGACTGCCCAGGGCCAAATTTCGGGGTGTATCAGGCGGCTCTCATGGCGGATTCCCGTCTTCTAGCCAGACAGTCGATGCAAGAAGAAGTCGTCCAGAAGCAGAAGCTGTTCAACAGCATGCCATCTCGCCGGTACCTCAGCCATAGATGGGACGGTAGCTTCGTGGTGACATGCTGAAAGCGTTGTGCCTAGGCTCCTACGATTCGCCGTTGCATGTACAAAACGGCTTGAGCCAACAGTTACCGTTTGAAGCAAAGGTAATGTGAATTCGATTCTCATATGATATCTCCAAGCAGTCAAGGTGAATTAGCACAAGGGGACCAGCCTCATAGCACTGGAAAAAAGAAAATGAAAAAAAAAAAGGCCAGTGCGGTTTTCCGAGGCTACACCACAGTCTCTCATCTGGAGGGACGATATGCTTTCTACGTCGTTTCCAGAGTATTCCTCTCTGAATGCAACGCAAACACAGCTCAGAGCCCCACGGGTTTAGTGAAAAGGATAGCAGCTATACTGCAGACTATATCCAGCCGCAAGACGACATGGTCAGAATTCCATGGGTTTGCTAGACACGCTGGGCTTACAGTATTGGCTGCGGAAGCTGAAATTCTCCGGCGACGGGAGTTTTGAGGGTAGTTGCTCCTGAACAGCATACTCGGCATGGGAATCGTATTATTCTCGAATTCGACTCGAAGGCTCGATAAATCCAAGCGGTCGATGAGCCCCGCGAAGCATCGCCTTCCACTGACCATTCGATGATTTCTGCCTAGCAAGGACGCTCTCGATGTCGTTGATTGCTCCGCGCCCAATTCCAATATGGTTAGTGGCCGATCTCACGAGCCCGGATTTCAGCGTCTATCGGCCGAACCACGTTCTCCGGTTCTGACAAGTTCAAGCTTGGCATTCTGCCCTGTCCAACGTCTTCTGACTTCGAGCTAGACGTCTTTGGGAAGCAGAGGGGAAGAGCTAGCAAAGTGTCTGCACCGTCGTCCACGAGAGATTGCTACCAGCGAGAATGCCCCGAAAAGGACGTCAGCAAGGATATGCTATTTTTCTTTCTTTTCGAGAATGCCATACTACTTGTGATGAGCAACCAACTCGGACAGTACCTCCCATTGCAAGCAGTCTACGGATATCAATGACTGTTCGGTAATATTACCGCGGTATCTAGGTCAACCTTCACAGGAACGACGAAGTGGGATTGCGATTCCGGGCATTTAGATCGCTGCCGCCTTCATTCATAGCCCACATCACGAAGCACGTCCTGCCACCCCGGCTGCCCAGGGACGAAAGCTCGCTCCACAAAGCTTCCTGCTCCAGCCTCCGAGCTTCAGCAGCCCCTCTCTCCTCTGAGGTTCCGCCCGCCCCGGTGTGATGAGAGAGATCCTGTTCAGGCTGTACCATATCAGATAGCCTTGGCTCGGCCTTCGCCTTCCGGCTAGCGGAGGTAAAATAGCCGCGAAGGAAAAAAGGCCGGCTGGTTCCACGTTCACGTTTTGCATGCTGACAAACGTGATTTTGCTGGTTGGAAGGGGAGAGGGGCCGGCCCACGGTTGGTGCTGGGACTAGAGGAAAACGCGTTTCTTTCGTGAAGCTGCTCGCACGCGCTTCGCGTCGCGCCGGGATTTCCAACCGCAAGCTCAAGCCGATCTAAGGGTAGTTGCTCTGGACGTGGGTTATCTACTAGTTAATACGATTGTGGAAGTGATGGTAAGTACTTGCGAGACAGAAGAGGCACTGGATTTAGAGGGTTGCTTTATTCGTCATGCCTTGCCGCCAATTTGGGGAGAAACATCAAATCAATCATCCCGGAATTGCCATTTTTGCCCATTTGTGCTTGGACAGATAAAGACATTTGAGCAACTCTTGCTTCTCGTGAATACAGTCACGTCAGGTCTTACCAGTCTTGGCACACTTATTCTACTTGCAATGTCAGCCTATTTCGGATTTGAGGCCAGGCAGGCTGTGATGAAGACTTGACTCGGGGCAGCCATGCGCACATCCTCCCCTGCTAATTGCCCCAGAATGCTACAATATCATCAGTACCTCTCAGAAACCCATAAGAAGTGCGGTCCAGACTCCAGGGGCGACATGATATTCTCGAGCCAGATCTCCCGATATTGACGCCCCTCGTTCCCGGCGTCGGTCTTTGAGTTTGACCTAGTTCCGCGTCGGATCCAACGTCAAATCCGAGAAACACCGCGGATCGCGTGTGCCGGGGAAAGGAGAGACTTCGCCACGCGGCGTTGCTTTCTCAGTTTCCCATGGCGGTATGTTGCTGAAGGGCTGGTTTCAGCTATCATTTTCCTTCTCCTTTGTTGCCATTTTATTCTAGTCGAGAGCTATCTTCCTGTGGACTCGATATAGTTCGATCTCGCACGGGACGAACCGTTCGTACATGTATGTACTCAGCCGTAGGCCTTACACACATCCTTGACTGGAGCCAAGTCGGGTGGAATAGCCCGCAGTCTAGGGATTTGAAACAAGTGCGCGTGGGGAGACTTAATAATACTACGGTATATATGATTGTGGTGTTGGCGCTCCAATGGGAATTTCCCTTTCATCTACCGGGAGGTGTCCTGAGTTTGCACATTCCAGTGGGAATAAAGTCAAATCTTGAACCTTCTCGGTAACCTTATTTGAGTGCCATCGACCTACCCCCCATATGTGGTACGAAGAACTAGGTAATCCTAAGCGGCGAGTGAATTCGAATTCAACTAAACAGATTTGGACATTACGAGTTATACGAAGACTGTCTGCTCCAAGGCTATGCTGTGTCAATTTGCCTGGCCAATATAGTGAGACCCGCCAACCTTCGGATACTCTCGTGCACAGTCTCTCGTTGAGTCTAACAGTATGGCAGAGACGTGTCTGAGCAGCTACCAGCAATGAACTTCTGGCCCGCCTTGGGCTTATCTGCCTCAAAGAGCTGAGCCGACGGATCAAGAACGCGATCGATGATGTGAACGATGCCCTTGGACCAGAACTTTCGTTAGTACTATGGGTTCCTAACACTTCAAATCGACATAAGATGGAGATCTTATTATTTGAGAAAAAGCAGAACGCACCTTGGTAACCCTCAAGTCTCCCTCCGTCACCGCTACAACATCATTCAACCATACCTGTCCATCCTTGACCTGCGTGCCAATGTACAAGTACGACCCCGTCTGGATCCTGGTCGCAGTCTCATTGAAGACACTCGTGAGCAGCTGCGAGTTGGGCACGTAGTGGTGCTGCACAAGATTTCCGAGCCACCACTTGCCCTTTGGCGTCGGCGTAAAGGTGTTGAAGTACTGTCCCGTGTGTTTCTCAAACGCGGCGTTCGAGGGCGCGAAGAAGGTATAGTCCCAGGTAGGGACGGTGTCGAACGCCTCCGTGAAGCCTGCGGATCCGTCGAGGACCTTGGCTAGCGTCGTCAAGTCACTCCTGGATTTGATCAAGTCCAGGAGGGTTGTCATGTTGGAGGTCTTTGGGAGCACGTAGGTGCCTGCCGGTTTGGACGCGTAGGAGAGCGGGTTTCTGTCTGCGGCGGTCACCGTTGATATAGTCCCGAGAGTGAGAATACTCAATAAATTGATAAACTTCATGTTTTTATGTGTATAGCCAGGTTTGCCGAGGTAACGTCGCGAGGGAAAGAAGCTAGATTCAACGACAAAAGGAATGGCAGTCTTATACCAGCATATTCACATGGACTCGAGAATCATGCGAAATGGACCACAGCACTCATTTCATTCAATTAATTCCAATCCTCCGTGATGAAGGACTAATCAACGGGGCCAATCTCCCGGGCCGGCTCCGTGCTCCGATAGTCGTCCCGGGATGCGGGGAACATGATGGCAAGACGATCCCCCGCAGATCTCATCTTTCCTCGTATGGGGAAGCTACAGCGGACCTATCATCCGGATGGAGTCGTATCTCTCCAGATGACATGAGTTTGTTCTGCTCCCGAACGATCCCCTCAGCTGAGTGTAGACCTAGCTTTAAAAGGGCAACATGTAGCTTCCATGGCGTCTTGGTTTTGCCAAGGTGTCTGTATCCCATACTTCCCCTCGAGAGTGAACATCATGCGATCTTTGACATTCCTTGCCATCTTCACCGCGGTTCCACTAAGCCTAGGGGCCAGCAAGCCACAAATGGGTGAGAAAATTATCCGTCTCATGGAACTTCCAGTCCAAGAATTAAAGCCGACGAATTTCTTACTCACTTACATGTCCTCTCTTCCGGTACAGGTTGGAACTCGTGGAACACATTCAAGCAGAATATCAACCAGACCCTCATAGAGGACACGGCAGCGGCAATGGTGGAAAAGGGCCTAGCCAAGGCGGGGTACAGCTACGTCGTCATGGATGAGGGCTGGCAGGCTCTCGAAAGAGATGCCGAGAGTCGGCAGCAGCATAATGCCACCCGCTTCCCGTCTGGTATCTCGGCACTCGCGGAGCATGTACATACCCTAGGTCTCAAGATTGGTCTTTACAGGTACTGTCCTTACTCCCATCACTGCTTCTTGCTCCGGTCACCTCATTTGCTTCTTTCCCGGGGGAGATCAAGCTGGAGAGCAGAGAAAAGATGCACACACAGGCTGAAACGAATGCTAATGAATCCATAGTGACTCGGGAATCTTTGGCTGCGGCTTTACCCCTGGCTCCTGGGGCTACGAAGAGCTCGACGCCCAAACCTACGCCGTCTGGGGCATCGACTACCTAAAGTATGACAACTGCGGCGGCTTCCACGCGGGCACGCACACCCAGCAGGAACGCTTCCAGACAATGTCGTCCGCCCTCCTGGCCACTGGCCGCGATATTCTCTACAGCCTGTGCCAGTGGGGCCACCAGTTTCCCTGGTACTGGGCGGACCAGGTCGGCGCCGCCTCGTACCGTATGTCTGGCGACATTCACGCGCTGTTCGCCGAGGACAAAGCCAACATCTGCAAGACGGCGTACTGCCTCAACACTGGGTACGCCGGGGTGAGCGTGCTGACGATGATACGGAAGATGAGAGAGGTCTCGCCGTTTCAGGCAAAGGATAGGGGTAGTTGGGCGGACATGGACATGTTGGAGGTCGGGGTCGGGTATAACCTCAGTGGAAAGATGGTTTACATGTCCGAGGTGGAGGAGCAGACGCACTTTTCGTTTTGGGCGGCGCTAAAGTCGCCTCTCATCATCGGTGCTGACATCACGAAGATCCGGGAGTCGTCGTTGAAAGTCCTACTCAATGAAGACATCATCGCGATCTCGCAGGATGAGAGGGGCGAAGCTGTGAGTTATTTGCCCGGGTTATCGAAGGAGGACGAGGTGCAGGTATGGGGAGGCTCTATCGAGACGGGGCCGTACCGGCACGTTGTCCTCGCCTTGAACTATGGGAAGAACACGACGAGTATCGAGGTGCCGTGGAAGGAGGTTGAGGGGTTGGAGGAGTGTCCCGGTGGAGGGTTAAAAGTGAAGGATGTGTGGGCTGATGAGGACTTGGGGATCGTCAAGGAGAAGATCACTTTGGGAGGGGTGACGGTCGGGCAGACTAAGGTTCTCCTGCTGTCTTGCTAGATATGTAGGAGGGTGAACTAAGCATTACATATCTGGCAAGAGCTGCAACCAGTCCAATATAAGCATCTGTGAATCAACTCGTGATGTCAACAATTAGATGGAAATCTCCTGATGGAGCTCCATATGAAGTAATAGAGTCTAAATTTCTTGTGCGTATCTAGCTGTACTGGCTTTCTTCCTATGTTTGCATCTCGCGTGAACCGTATTGTCTTGAACTTGATAAACCCCAAGGCTCACAAGAAACAAACCAATCTCAAAGGTTGAGGGGGAAATCCTCATCACAAGTGAAAAGAAGAAAACGCTGGTTAATTCTGGTGACTATTTCAATTTCCTGGTAGTAAGCCCCAGCCGTGATCTTTAGTCTCTGTTGAGAAAGCCGGAGTGATCGGCTTCCGACATATTTGGAGACCCGAAGGCCGAGGAAACGACTATTGGACTGGCATCAGCGGCAAGCCTCAATATCTATTTCATGGAACATCACACTAGTCTTCGAGTAACCCAAAAGATTGTCCCTTTCAAGCGAGGTCCTCGTTCATCCTTGCATCCCCAGTGGCTTGGCACCCTCAACTCCCCTACACCGGAGTACGGAGCAATTTCCGGACAACCCTCCGGCACTTCCAACAGAACGCAGAACATGTCACCGAGCACGACAAACTACTGATCATCAATAGGCTATGCGGCCCGAAAGCTCTACCGTTGGTAGCAGACGAGTCGTCTGTCAACTTGTAGATCCATGTTTCTATCGGGGAGGTTTGTCCGCGGGGATGTATTCCATGACTAAGGCATTGTGCATCATGTCCATAATCCCCATGTAGCTGGAGTTCGGGAAGGCGAAAAGGATGACTAGGAAAGTGATTAACTGAAGGCAGTGCCCCGATTGGAGAGACCATAGTTAGTCCGGTTCATTGGGTTCTCATATTCTTTGAAATAGCGAACACTGCAACTTGCCATCTATTGCTTAAAGCCTGTCCACCTTTGAGAATAAGCGGAGTACAAATAACCCACGATCAAGCCAAAGCCAGTAACATGACGTCTGAAGCCATCATAGTCGAGGATGTTCCGATCAGCAACGGCCTAAACAAAAGATTTGTTGACGATGGCATTGACTCCACGGTGAGCGGAAACGCTTGTGTAAGTAGAGCCATGCTCGGAACGCCTCATCCCCATCGTCAATGCTGAGGCCCCTCCATGCTAACACAAAGTTTCCGTCAACAACAGAAGCGCAGCAAACACGTCCAGGAGAAGATGGAAACAGTAGCCGGTCTCACGACTCCTCCCTTCTCTTCGGCAGAGATGATCAAGCAGGGAGCAAAGTCTCTGGCAGCCTCGCTCTTCTCTTCCAAGGTCACAGCCAAGATCTGGGGCGTAGCACAACAAAGCTTCTCTTCGGTATGGGCAACTCCCCACTCAGCTCAATACCACAAGAATCGAAAGTTTTCGGTTTGCTAATGAATGGTTTTTATTGCGCAAAGTCTTCGCCACCGACCTTGTTCCCGGAGTACACCAAGCCAGGCGGCACCAAGTACGTCTACCGCGAACTGGACTTTTGGACCTCGGGTTTCTTCCCCGGATGTCTCTACCTCCTACTCGAGCGAAGGCGTAGGCACTCCCATCTCTTGAAACAGCTGGGCTGGTCAGTAGAGGACGAGCCTAACTCACTACATCTCGAGTAACTCTTCCAAACACCAATATTTAGAAAAATTCAATCGACTGACCCGTGAACCAAGGTTCGCTTGTAAGTGGTGGACAGAAACCCTCCACCCTAACGCAGAGCTCAAGACGACACATGACCTGGGCTTCATGATCTTTCCTTGGGCAAGACCCGCCTGGGAACTCTCAAGTGATCGCAAATCGTTCGAGACAGCTATAACGGCGGCTAGGTCGCTGTATAGCCGATATGACGCCACTGTGGGATCCATCCGGTCGTGGGACGTCTGCGTAACGAAGCGGTACAAGTTTCTTGACCCAAGTCAAGACTTTCTCGTAATCATTGTAAGCACTACCTCACAGCTACCGCCAACAGATTTGAGCATATTACTAAACGGGAACCAGGACAACATGATGAATCTTGACGTGATCTTCTGGGCCGCCTCCCAGCTAGGAGATGACGACATGTGGAGCGCGGCTGTCAAACACGCCGAGACTACGAGAGAGCACCACATTCGCCCGGACTCTTCCACCTTCCACGTCGTCAACTTTGACCAGGCGACTGGCGTGCCAAAGGAAAAGATTACGAATCAGGGATACTCTGATACGTCTTCATGGTCGAGGGGACAGGCGTGGGCAATCGCGGGATTCGTGCAGACCTACGGCTGGACACGGGACCAATCTTTCCTGGATACAGCCATTTCGTGTGCGGACTATTTCCTCGAGCAGCTTCCTTCGAGCGGGATCCCGCCGTGGGACTTCGCTGCGCCAAAAGACATGGCACAACCTCCGGATGTCAGCGCAGCCATGATTGCGGCGTATGGCATGTTGCTCATTCACGAGGCTCTGACGGCGCTTGGAAGGTCGTCGACGTACCTGAGAACTGCTATCGGTCTCACTCGCGCTATCTGTGACAACCACATCAATAGAGGCGGAAGCTATGTGAAGTCTCAAAGATCGATCGAAACGGTCGAGCACGGCACGGTGGTTGAAGAAGTAGGTTGGGATGTGGACATGGAGGCCGAGCCGGAGACCATACTGAATGGGGCTACCATCAACAACTACGAATTTGCGCCGCGAAGGTGGGCAAACCACGGACTGGTATATGCTGACTACTTCTTCTTGCTGGTGGGAAACAAGCTCTTAGAGATGGGCGTCGGAGAGTTATTTAACGACAATCGGCCTTGAGCAGTTGAACGTGAAGAATGACTGAAGTGTTTTTAGAGAGTATGGTCTGATCAATTATTCATCTATCAAATAAATATACATCTCTAAGTCTGAGCTTATAGAGCCAATGGAATATATTATCGTCATCATTCGCCTGCAGATGCGTTAACTACTCTTTCTCTGCTGCCCCCGAGAACATACTGATTCGCTGATTCGGCAGGAAGGAATAGTCCAAGTAAGCATTGAGATCCTCAAAGTCTCCAACTGGATGATGTGTGTTGCCATGGTTATTTACAACGCCTACATCGAAGTGATCGTATCCATTCGGGTGGCTTGGTAGTATCGCACCGCCGGGAACTGGTGACGGCATGGCCGTTGGACCTCTGCTTGTACTTTGCGCATGGAACGCTATCGGAAGCGGAGGAAATGCCAGAGATATACTGTCAGGGGATGCCTCTTGTTCAAAGTCCATGGTAGAAGTTCCAAGACCGCCTAGAAAGGCCGGCTCTTGGCCGGTGGCTTGACTCGGCGAGAATGCAATATCTCGATGATTCGATCTGACACGAGACAGCCCAGGAGTCTTAGGGTTGTCTCCAGCCGACACGGAGATTGTGTCTGGACGGGTGTCGTCTGAGTAGACTGCTTGACGTATGTCGAGCATTCCCCTGCCCTGATGTCGCGCTTGAATCAGCCGGCCAGCAAATTTGGATGCTAGATTGTCGGACACATCGCCAAGACCATTCCATCTTTGAGCTATAACGTTGAGACTGTTTACTAGTGAATCAAAGCCGTCCGGAAGAGCCACATCGTAGTAGGTTGAATGGGCCAGAAACATTCGGCCGCAGATGAAGAGGCAAAACGCGAATTGTGAACTGACAACTTGCTGCGAATCCTGTAGAAATTTCTCGGCAATGATAGCCACCTCTGTTGCAGCAGCCATGCATGTTTCCGCACTGGATGCTGACGGCAGTCGTATTCCAGTAGCTTGCCATTCGGGCAACGGATAGGCGACGCCCTGATGAAGCAGCACTACGCTCGAATTGTGCGTCAGGTGAGCGAGCGTGAGATTGGGGTCCATGATGCCGTCCACGTTGAGGACGCATGCCTCCCGCCACTGTTCGGGAAGGAATATCTTCCACCTGTAGGGTGTCAGTCTCTGTTTTGTAATCGATTATTACTGGAAGACACACTGTACCAGACGCAAGTCAAGTTGTTTGAACTTCATCAACCAGACTTGGATCTCGTGTGGCTTGGAAACATCAATAGCTTGCTGAAGAAAGAAGGACGTCACGAGACTAAGACTCTCGGTGGCTTCGATGCAATACGCAAAACCTCCAAGTGAATCCTGGGCTGCCTCTTCCAAACGTGCAGTAGGAAGGGTTCCACTGGAACCGCTGGACTGATCAGCTACACCGAAATATGGAGTTGGGGTTTGGAGCGGTTCTCCGTTCTCCCAAAGCGCTCCCTCGCAAGGAAGACGTCGTTTCACGTCTGCGCTGGTGAGAGAAAAGTTCCAACCTGTTGCGACGCTGCAAAACCTGTCCATCAGAAAAATATTCCAGAAAACTCGACGCCTCTCTTCTCGTTCGCTCCAGCTTCGACATAGCGGCAGGAATGCCATACGCTTGATGAGATGCTTCGCAGCCGGCGGTTGGTCTTCGTCCTCGACACTGAGCTGTAACTGTTCAACCGTTCGGGTCATGCTACCAACGATAGACTAGAAACAGGTAAGTATGAATCGAATGTGAAGAGGCGGATCACTAACCCAAGCTGATGGACCTCTGCCACTGCCAATCTGTGTTTCTTGATCAGCTAGTTCGTCTCAAGATAAGTTGAATACAGGTTCGGGACTGTTCTCACGGTGTCAAAGGCAATTATTGTCAGAGCCTGAAGATTCTCCACCGAGAAGGACTCCATACTGTTCAGTATCACAAACTGCCGACATCTTCGTGCCCTGCGTGTCTTTTCCTCATGCAGTCCTAGGCGCGGATCTTGAGAGAACCTTGCGCACAAAGAAACTATGGCATGAAATATAGTGCTGAGATGGGGTCGTTGGGCTGGGTCCTGCATCCTCTCCCGAAATTGGCGCACGTGAAGCATAGGAATCCAGGGGTGAATATTGGAAAAGTAAATATCGACAAGAGCGTCCATGAGGTCCAGCTCTGGCAGTAGGTCCGCTTCGGTCA